AAGAATTGATGCCTTTGAATTATGGTGTTGGAGGAGAATATTGAAAGTGCCATGGGCTGCCAAAAGAACCAACAGATCTGTGTTGGAAGAAGTGCAGTTAGAGTGCTCCCTGGAGGCCAGGATGGCCAAACTTTATCTCTCATACTTCCGACATATTGTCGGAAGTGTACAGTCGCTGGAGAAGGGTATCATGTTTGGTAGGGTGGAGGGTCAGAGAAAAAGAGAAAGACTCCCAGAGAGATGGATTGGCCAAGTGGCAGTATCAATGGGCTCAAGCATGGCAATGATAGTGAGGTTGGTTCAGGATTGGGCAGTGTTTTGTTCTCCTCCTCATAACGTCTCTGTGAGTCAGTACCAACTCAATGGCACCTAACAACAACATGGTCAAAGTCCTTTTATATATATATTCACGTGGTAGAAATTTATAAGAAACATGAAAATGCCCCTATAGAACTGATAATCTGTCCATAAAAATTATTAATAAAAGAAAATTCAAAAATTGCTAAGATTTGGATTGGCAAGGTGAGCTTGTTTCTTCATGTGACCCTTTTATTCCCTATGAAACCTTATGTTCCAGGCATACTAATCATCTCTCAATTATTTTTGTGTGCTATTTTCTTTCCTGACTGTTGATCTTTCTTCTCCCTGAAATCCCTGATCCCCTTCAGGTGCTAACTTAAGTTCTACTTCCGAAAGAACATTTTCTCTCTGTCCTGGAGCTATCACCGTCTTAGAACTATCATGGGCTCTCATAAAGCCCTGTACTCATGTCATTATGCTTATAACACTTGTTGTCATTGTGTTTACCTTCCCAAGTAGTTTCTAAGCTTGAGTTCTGGTGTGGCACTATAGAATAAGCACTGGACTGCTGACCACAAGACTGGTGAACCCACCAGCCTCTCCTTGGAAATCCTATACAGGCTCACTGTGAGTCAGAGCTAACTCAAGGACACATAAAAACAACAGCCTGTAAGCTACTTGAAGGAAGAATCTATGTTTAATTGTTTTAGTTTATTCACTGTCATATCCTTAGATATTATTACACTACCTGGTATGGATTAGGAGAACAATAAAATTTTCTTTGAATGAGTGAGTTAAGCAAGTCTGATCTACTGTAATTATTGAGACTACCAAGAAGACTAAATATCATCAGAATGAATGTGTCATTCTATAAAATATGCATTGTATTTACTTAAGACATTATCAAAAGGGACCAGTCCCTGGAGAAGGACATCATGGTTGGAAAAGTGGAGGGTCTGTGAAAAAGAGGAAGACCCCCAATGAAATGGATTGGTACAATGGCACCAACAATGGCTCAAGGGTCGCAGTGATTGTGAGGTTGGCTCAAGACCAGGGCAGTGTTTCGTTCTGTTGTGCACAAGATCACTACAGACTTGCCAGCACCTAACAACAACAATATTATTGTAGGTAGAGAGAAGACAAGAGATTGCAAAGGCTCATGAATGCTAGAATTATTCCAAAATAATAATAATAGTTAGAATTAGTAGGAGCTCTGGTGGCGTAGTGGTTACGAATCGGGCTGCGAACCTTAAGGTCAGCGGTTCAAAACTACCAGCTGCTCCGCGGGAGAAAGATGAGGCTTTCTACTCCCGTAAAGATTTACACCCTCGGAAACCCTATACAGGGTCGCTATGGGTCAGAACCAACTCGATGGCACATAACAACAACAACAACAACATTTCATTCAGAAGGAGAATTTTAAAACTGTGCAGTAACATTATGTGAGAGATACATAAGGAAGCTCTTTCCAGGCATGTTAAATAATGTTGACGTTAACAATGGTCAAATGTGAGAGACCAATTTTTAACTCCCATAAAAATGGCAAAATGTTGAGTCAAGATAGCACTAGGTGTTATTTCTTCTTTATTTTAGTCTCTGTTTCAACAATCTTATAGAATTCTGTCTGATATACTATGCCTCCTTATCTATCTATGGTTGTTGTTGTTAAATGCTGTAGAGTCAGTTCTGACTCATAGTGACCCTGTATAGGATTTCTAAGGAGCACATGGTGGGTTTGAACTGCTGATCTTGTGGTTAGCAAACCAGTGTTTATCCTGCAGAGTTACACCAGGAGTCTTATCTGTAAGAAGCCCTAACGATATCCAACATTCTCATTTGTCTTAGAAACCATTGTATTTGTTTTCCAACTAATTTGTCTATAGGACCTATGTTATGTTGATGTGTTCAGAGTATCAGCTCATATACTGATACATCTACAACTCTTTAGACATTTATTGTTTGTAGTCAAGTTTGGGAAGCTACAAGAGTTTAAAAGCTCAAAATAAAGTGGCTCAAGAAGTATATCTACTGCCAAGATTGCAATAATAACAATGATTTCATCTACTATGAAACTATTGATCCCACTACTGTTATGAGAAATGAGCTGTTATCATCCTGAAGGAAGCTGTAACTTATAAAGGATTCTGAAATCATCCCCATTGTTATTAACATCAGGGAGTCCTTAAGGCCCAATGCTAAATGCTCAACTGTTAACTGAAACATTGATGGTTAGAACCCACCAGGAGCTCACAGACAAAACTCTTTGACAGTGTGTTTCCACAAAGATTACAGCCTTGGAAATCTCATGAGAGCAGTTCTACACTGTCTTACAAGGCCACTCTCAGTCCAAATTGACTAGAGAGCAGTGTCTTGGGTTTGGGATAGTATTATTATTATACAATTTCAAAGCACTCATTAAATATCTACAGTGTGCACTAATAATATTTCATCATTAAAGAAATACATATCAAGTTTCCTGTTTCTACTTTTTAAACTTTTATTTTTCCCCAAACTGTAATACATTCAAGAATCCAGTTCTCTGAAGCAGGGCTAATATGCGGGACCATGATAAATGTCAGGGAGATGATATCCTAATAAGGAGACTGTCTCCTCCTCACAGCAGCAGAGTGTAGCTGACAAGAAACTAGCCACCTCCCACAGTCTTTTTGATAGCCGTCTTGACTTCCTGATTCCTTAGACAGTAGATAAATGGATTAAGCATGGGTGTAAGAACAGCATATACAGCTGAGATTAATTTGTTGGAATTGAATGATGCAATAGCCCTGGGCCGAACATACATGAAAATCATTGCTGTGTAGTAAATTACAACTACAGTTAGGTGGGATGCACAAGTGGAAAAGGCCTTCTTCCTTCCCTGAGTGGAGGGTATACGTAGGATGGTGGAGACGATGTAAACATAAGAGAGGACAGTGGTGATGAGAGGAAATACAAGAATGACAATAGCCAAGGCAAAGTCCACTAGCTCAGCTGTGGACATGTCTTTGCAGGCCAATTTGAGAATGGGAGAAATGTCACAGAAAAAATGGTTCATGACATTGGAGCCACAGAAGGCAACATGTGAAATGAAATAGACCTTGATCACCGAGACTGTGAATCCACTCATATATGAGAAAGCCACTAGCTGCATACAATAACCTGTGGTCATGATGACCGGGTATCGGAGAGGGTGGCAGATAGCCACATAGCGGTCATAGGCCATGGCTGCCAAGAGAACACACTCTGTGCAGGCCAGAGAGATAAAGAAGTAGAGCTGGGTCATGCAACCTGTGAAGGAGATGCGCCGTCTCTGCAGAAGAAATCCATCCAGCATCTTGGGTACCGTAACAGAGACATACCAGACCTCCAAGAAGGACATGCTGCTCAAGAAGTAGTACATGGGCTTATGGAGAGAGCCAGTGATCCAAACAGTGAGCATGATGGTAAGATTCTCAACTACCACCAGCAGGTAGACCACAAGGAAGAGGAAGAAGAGAAGAATCTGCAGCCAAGGGGCAGTGGGAAAGCCCACGAGGATGAACTCACTGACCAGAGTGACGTTTCTCTCCAGCATGACTAAATGCAGCAAAAGGTATTGATATCTTCTATGGCAATGATACAAATAATGAAGAAGGCACCGGCAACAGTCAAGAAACAGGTTTAAGTTAGAATTTCAGTCTTTCCTGTTAATGAAACTCATAAACTGTTTTTTGTTAACAAGAACTATTTGCAAATATGAACCATATCTACGTTCCACTCATTTAAAAAAATTTTAGACCTATTGCCCTCTCGTTGGCTTTTTTTTTTTTTAAATCTACTTAATTAGCAATTCAGAGATTTATTCCTTCCTGAAAGCCCTTGCAGTGCAGTGGGTAAGTATTGGGCTGCTAACCGAAAGGTCAGTAGTTAGAGCCCAGCAGCCCCTCCATGGGAGATTGATGAGAAAGTCTGCTTCTGTAAGTTTTTACTGCCTCGGAAGCTTTAGGAAGCACTTCTACTCCGACCTATAAGATTGCTACAAGTAGAAATTGACTTGACAACAGTGGATTGGCAAAAGTGACTCACAGTGTCAGAGACAGTTTCAAATGGTTACTATTTGGTTGTCCTGGTGTGGTGCTGTGGGGTTAATGCGCCAGACTGCAAAGCCATTTGAACTGCAAGGTCGGCAGTTCAAGCTCACCAGGTGCTCCTTGGAAACCCTCTACAGGGTCATTGTGGGTCGGAATCAACTCGACAGCACTTAACAACAACAACATGGCTATAGTACTTTGATATAGGATAGTTTCTTCAAAACAGAGTATGAAAGTTAGCAAATAATGATTATTAGGAAGTTTAGTCAATGATTCCCCCATTCCCTTTTGAGCAAAATGGGTATATTTTATTAATCATACACAGGAGACAGAAGTCCTAGTATGGTTCTCTGGGATAAAGCACTGGACCGCAAGGTCATTTTGAACCACACGATCAGCAGTTCAAACTCACTAGCCACTCTTTGGAAACCATACAGAGTAGCTATGAGTAGGAACCAACTTGATGGCACTTAACAACAACAAACACAGGAGAAAAGTCAAAATTTGATATCTATTTCCCAAGTCTTATATCTTGCTACCCACTAAGAAATATTACATATTCCAGGCAAATTCAACTAGATTTTGCTCCCCAAGCATACTATAGCATCAGTTGCCCCCATGGTTTTGTATATGTGCATCTCTCCTCTTATTCCATCATTACCCTAATAGTTACCTTCTGAGCTCCTTCTAGTTTCTACTTAGAAGGCATCTTGCCAAAGCTGGGTCAAGTGCCTAGTCAGCACACCCACTCTTTCCAGTGCACAACTCCAGTATGTATTAAGGTTTCTCCCCAGTACGCTGAAAGCTTCCAGAACTTTATACTCTTTTCTTCATCACTGTACACCCAAAATACAGGACATGTATATGAAATGAATATTAAATGAAAAAGTGAATTAATGAATGCCTTAGAGCTTTAGAATCTACAAGAAATCATTCAGGGGCAGAGGAAACTAATCTCAAGGTCTCAGTTAGCAGGGAGCACATATCATCAAGCTGAACATCGTTAGACACATCCTCAGTTTGTATACTAGCTCTGCTTTCACAACAAATATATCCACAAGGACGTTGGATATGAGCTTTGCTCTCATGTTACTTGGTTAAGTTATCATCCTTAAACATCAGCCATTGCCTCAGGCTCTGGGCCAGACAGATGAGGACACGGATGTGGGAGGGTGCATGAATGCACCTTGTAAGGCCTTGTAAAGTCAGAAGGCAGAATTATTTGTGAATTAATGCAGTTATTTCCATCTGTATTTAAGGAAACTTTCACTACTGTGTCATCTCTTAAGCTATATATAAATAAATGTGTATCTATTATCTGTATAGTCTGCCTTCTGATTGTTGCTCATCCTTTCCAATTAGCATCTCTGTTAACCATTGTTCTCTTGGCATAGATAGGGTGAAAGATTGAACAGGGTTAACTATGATACCCCATTGGACTACAGAATCTCTGACCATAGCTCATGCCAAAGGACTGAGGGATACAGTGTTGGAATACACAACACATAACTGACATCTCTTTTTCCTAGCTATACATACCAGTAATGTTGACTACTGCTTGCTGGCTGGGAAGAGATTTCCCCATATCTCCCACCTACAACCCACATTCCAAACCTGAGGAAGCTAAGGAACACTAAGGATTAATTTCAATACTAAGGAATTATTGGCCTAGTTCCTCATTGCCTTTAATCAAATGCTTTCTCAGGAGTGAAGAAGAAGAATCTGGTTCTGGACTCAGGGAATGGAGATTTTTCTCCCGATTGTAGACTCAGTAGGAAGCAGTACCAATGGAGAGGTTTCTATCATTCAGAACATTCGTCACATTACACATCTCCACCATCAGCCACACAATTTCACACACATTCACCTTTGCACAGTGTTTAAGAGTACTGACTTTAGAGTCAGACTAAGGCTTGAATATTGGTTCCATCATCTGTGTCATCTTAAACAGACTATTTAACAATTATGTCTCTGAAAAATGGAAATGATGATAATAATGCCTATCTTGTTGGTCTGTTGTGAGAATTAAATGTGTTACTGCACGGAAAGCACTTTTCATAGACTTTGTCCATGGTTGTTCCCTATAAGGATTAGTTTTTATTAAATTACACCACACACACTCAAATCATACGTGTTCACATTTTTCATCCATATTACTCTTGTATACACACAATCATTCGTTCTCTCTTACTTATTTTTCTTGTCATTTCTGGAGAATTCTGTAACCTGAATATCCTGTAGAACAGGATCAAAGCATCTTTGAAGATGTCTGATTTAGAGATCATTCATACCTTCCTTCTTATCTAACATACTGCTTTCAATACTCAAGCACATTCTTATTCTCTTTATATTTTCCTCACTATCATTACCATAAATGTATCCCAAAAAGGTTTCACTTGGAGCACAGAGGGTTACAGAGTTTTCTTGTTCTATTTCCCTTGTTTTAGGAACAAGAGCACTGAACATTGGACTTTCTATGGTATCCTAGGAAAGAAGGCCTTTTAATTATACTTAGCTGTTTTTACTTCTATTTTTATCATTCTTTCCGTTCTCTTTGTACTTCGCAAGAGGCACTGATAGTTTCTTCTGGAACAAGATGTTTATCCTTTGTGCCTTAGTTCAACACTCAAATGATCCAGTACCTGTCCAAATTCCCCCAACCTTAAGTAAATTGATGTTTCATTTCACAATCATTCCCCACAAACCCTTTCTCCTATCTAAGTATTTTTCCAAAAACAGTCATTTTTTCCCAAGTCCTTCCTCATCTTAATTGGAGTTTCTTCAGAGATCACGCAATCTCTTCTGGTACTGCCATCCACTCACCATGGTCCATCTGTCTTTTTTTTTGAGAATGAAAAACTCTTCAGACATCTACACCAATAACAAAAAAACAGACTGGTCTGCAGATTTTTGTTATTGTAGGAGATCTGCATCTAGTCTGTGCTTAGACTGCATGGTAGGTTTTACAGCACCAAGGCAAGAACACAGAAGCAGAGGCAGGAAAATATATTGCCTATCTTTTGCTCCTGTCATCGCCCCAGGAGACTCACCTATACTCAGTCTGGCCCAACTCTAGGGAATCTTTGTATGTGCTGCCAAGACTGTGTCCAGGGGCCCTGGACAGGGAAAGTGAATCTCCATCTACCTATCAATTACTATTATACCTGGACTATGTGTATAATATCATTACCTTTCAACTACTGTTATACCTGGACTATGTGTCTGTGGTGTGGTCCTTTTCTTGTACTCCTACATGAGTATATCAAGTGATGTAATAAAAAATTAATTAGAAAATAGGATAAGAAAGTGGGTTAATAAGGTAACAGATACTTCATTTGCTCATTCTTGATATAAAACATACTTCCTGTTTTTATTGGGTTCTTCTAGACACAGTGCTACACAGCTTTTTAGAATAAAAATATTGAAGTCATGTTCTCTGCCTTCTTGGAATCTGCAGTGTTGTCAATAAAATGAGAAGTACACACTATAATGGGAATAGGATGTAACATGTGCCACAAAAAAAAAAGCTACATACAAAATGTTCATACAACTCCAACAAAACAGAAATGCATTCTCACTGGGGAACGCAGAAAAATTTCATCAAACAAACATTTGTCATTCCAGATTCATGAGAGAAAGACAGTTTAGGAAATAGATTGTGAACAATAATTTGAGTTCAGCAGTCAGAAGACTTTTTAATCTAAGTTCCATTATTTTTTAGACATTTGATTTTAGAAAATTATGTCCATTCCTCACTTTATCCATAAAATGAAATAATAATTCAATATCTTATCATTTATGTTAGTATCAGTAGTGACAAGGACATTAAAGCAGTTCTAAACAGTACTGTTCTGTGATAGCTACACCAATGTAAAACATTATCTTGCTAGAATATTAACCATATTGGCAAGAATTGATAAGAATAAGGGCTTTTGGTTTTCAGAGATGAGCATAAGAAAGAGTAGAGATTAATGAAAACAAAGATAAGATGATGAGGTCCCCGTTATTTTCACTACAGTATAGGACTTCTTTCCTTTTTTAGTTTTCTTCTTAAGGTGCTGTAATCTTTTCCCTCAGAAAAACCAGGTTCCTCAAACCCCAGGAAAGACAGGAAAGGGGAGTATAACAGAGAGAATGAATGGCTATGAATGTGTATAAGAGAAAACATGAATGAAAAACCATGAGCACATATGATGACGAGATGTCACACAGCGGCTAGACGTTACACCCACTACCTTGGAGTTCTGAAATCATTGTATCATTTAGGAGCTATTTGTGAAGTGTGCACGGATAGGCTAAGAACAGTGTGAGGTGACAGCCCTTTCTGTCTGTCAAGTTGTCCCAGCCTAGTGAGTTCTCTAAGGAAGATGGTAAAAGAATCAGTGCATTTGATTATAGTGTAACCAAAATGGAAAGAACAGCTTACCTTTATTATCATGAAGTAATGAAAATCAAGTGAAATTCTATTAAATGTTTGACAGAAAAAGATTAATAATAAAATAGA